GTGCAGCAATATATGTCGGTGAGTAAATATTGTGATTTTTAGTACACTTTTTCGTCACATATATACAAGGTCTGACAATTAAGTTCGCGATCTTGTTGCATTGATGTTGCTAACCTTTTCTGATATCAGGGGGATTATTCATCATGCATTTGCACCAACTAGACAAACAGCTAACCAAGTTTACTATTTGGAAGTGCTGAAAAGGCTGCATTAAAAAGTTAGATGACCTGAACTTTCACCAACAATTCATGGCTCTTGCATCACAACAATGCACAAACTCACACGGCACTGTCTGTGAGGGAGTTTTTGGCCAATAAACAAATAACTGTATTGGAACACCCTCCCTACTCACCTGATCTGGCCTCCAATGACTTCTTTCTTTACCCAAAGATAAAGGAAATAATGAAAGGAAGACATTTTGATGACATTCAGGACACCAAGGGTAATATGATGACAGCTTTGATGGCCATTCCAGAAAAAGAGTTCCAAAATTGCTTTGAAGGGTGGACTAGGTGCTGACATTGGTGGCATAGCTTCCCAAGGGGAGTACTTCGAAGGTGACCATAGTGATATTCAGCAATGAGGTATGTAGCACTTTTTCTAGAATGAGTTCGCGAACTTAATTGTCGGGCCTCATACATTTATCAAATAGTTACTGGTGCTTCTCTGTGTCAGATACCATGCAAGACACTTGGGATACACAAGAGAACAAAACATACCAAAAACTCCTGGTCTCTTGGCGTTCATTATGTACCTAGCACCTCACAGTTTTCACTTATGTTGAATTAATCAATGTGTATGTGTATAGACAAAAACACTACTAATCCTTACCACTGCAATCACTTGCCTTTGAGCACTGTGAATCCCAACCCAGAGTTGTATGAGCTGGGACTGGAATCAATCAACAAATATTTATTGAATACCTTCTGTGTATAGCCTACTTAGGTACTGAGGCCACAGCATTGAACAAATGATAAGGCCTCTGCCCTAATGGGGCTCATAGTCTAATGATCATGAAGGTCTCTTTCTTCCAGCTTAAAGAATTCAATAAACTCTGAGAAACCTTCTAAATGCAACATAGTGTCTGGACATCCTAAAGCAATCGTGAGACATAGCTGCTACTCTCCAGGTGGATGAGAAAAGGGAAGAAACTCAGGGTCTGTGGTCTGAACCTTTGAGACAAGCATCCTATAACTATGTCAGGGCTTCAGGTCAATAGGCTACAAGGAGATGCTCATGTCTGATTGGCCTTGGATGGGATAAGGGAACCCAGGTGAAGCCATTACTTAGGTCATATTTGCAGTTGAGTATACAACTTTTACTTTCCTGAAGAACAAAATTGTCACATATGAAAACTTTTAGGGAAATGGTAAACATTTCTGACCACCACCATTACTCATTGAAATAATCCATTTGGAATTAATATCCTAGGCACGTATTTGGCTTTAAACAGAAAAGGGAAGAAAAACATGCTGCCCAACGTTTAGTAATTGAGACTGCCCACCTCTGACCACCATCACAGCCTCTCCCAGCCTCCCAAAGGCCAAACATGCAAATTGCCTCCCACATATTTTACAGATATAAGAGCATATTCCAGGAGAGGACTGATTTGTATTTTATAGTCAGGGCAGTTTGACCCACACATCTAATATGAGCAGTGGCTCTGTAGGTCCCCTGTTTCTCAAATGTTCATTCTTTAACTGACCACACACTGGAGGTTGGCCCAAAGTCCTCACTGTTTGGATACCACCACTAACCAGCTTACTTCCCTGCCAAAAGTAAACAATAGGCTAGATTAAATGAAATGTTTTCCATCCCCAACTGCCAGCTGCCAGGAGAAAGGGGTTTTGTTAATGAGCAAAGCAAGCTTACAGTTCTGGCAGTGCTAAGCAGGTTTGTGAACATGTTATTAAGAGGATAAAGACAAGAACAGTAGAGATGATCTGGGTTGGGGATGAGCCCAACCAGAGACAGGCACACCGAGGACATTTGGACATATAAGCTCAATGCCTTCTGCTAGTGTTGAGTCATGATGGGAAAAGCATTTTTATTTTTCCAGATTTCTTATTTCCAATCAACAAAACGAGTCCCTGCAACTTCTTGTTTACCAACCATGAAGTGGTAGGGGTGTCCCAACTAATCCCTAGGAAATGTACCAAGTAACTGAAGTATTAGATCTGGGTGCATGAGGCAAAACCCCAATGTAATCGGTTGAATTATGCCCACTGCTGACCTCCGTCTAAGATAAGAGGTCAGAACACGTATGTAGCACCTACATACCCAGAATGAGGTCTTTATTGCTCCATTATGTTCTCTTCCTTAACAATAATAACCTGTTTGTTGACATGTAATACATACCGTGGTACAGAATCAAAAAGTACAAAAAGATGCAGAGGGAAAAGCTTTTCTCTGCCACTCAGCCCCTTTCCCTTTACCATATGCTCGCTATTCTTAACCTGTTCTTTGCACTTACTGACATATCTCAGATGCCTTTCCATATCAGTGTCTGTGATCTAGTATCCTATTGGATGAGCACACCAAAATTTATTTTAACCAGTCCCTTGTTGATGAACACTATTACCAATGCTTTGCTGTTGGAGGTAGTGCTACAATGACTGTCCTTGTACATATGACACCTTTGCTCATGTGCAGGGAGAGCTGTAGGATGTATTATTATTATTAATTTCAGAGTGCCATGCAGCTCTTTCCATCACGTGATCTTGCACATTTATGAGAAAAGGCAAAGTGGTATCATCCCAGCCTTTTTTCCCTCTAACTATAAAACTCTACATGGCCACACCTGTGTGTCCCTTCCCCACAGCTCCCCAGAAAGAGGAGAGAGTAATCTCACGTGCTTTATGCCATCCCCTTTCCCATAGTCTCTTAATAAGCTTGTCTGATTTGAAGCCAGTTGAACTAAATGAAAAGCACGAGAGAGAGCAGGGGATGAGAATGAGCTATTTCAGAAAGAGTGGACTGCTCAAATACTTGAAATATTTTCCTGCCTGCTATATGCACACTGAAAATCAACAAAGGGGTTCTCAGAAACCATGAAAAAAGAAGAGGGGCCTTATCATCAACAAAAACGTACCAGGACCACTTGAGTCTTGAATGTGAGCTTTAACAAATCCAGTTAGTGAATGGAAAAAAAAACAGGCACCACTACTTCAAATGTAGCACTGGCCTGGTTTGTTC